CAGTTAAAATTTGAATTTTAATTCATACCAAACAAGGGCATAGTGTGTAAATTTTAGAAACATGTTAGGTTAAGATTGTTGGGCATTGAATGTTAGTTCTAAGCATAAGTTTGTCCTTTAAAAAAGGAGAGGCAGAAATAGCACTAACTTCGAGAAGAAACAGAGGTTCGTAGCAATTTTTAAAACAATCGTGTTACATGTACATCATTTTATACACTGTGGCACGTGGCAACACACGATTAAACAATCTTAAACTTTTGACAATTTTTTCACATAATCAACACTTGCCAACACACACAATATCATCAATCATGTCAAGGAAGAGCGTACAAGTGACATTTTCCGTTTTCAATTGTTCCCATGTATCACTATTTACTAGGTTTCATTAGAATGAAGATGAGCAAATGAAAATGTAGAAACCTTGGAAAGAGTTCGACGACTTTATTTTGACAATCACTTTTTCGGATGTCATGTATTGAATTAGGATTAATCTAGTTGTACAGAACCCTCTACATAATGGTTCACATAATGGTGACATGGCAATCATCAATTTATTGATGTGTACGTGTGAAAGTTGATTTAAAGGCAGGATCACATGCCACGTGTAATTATATGAACCATTATGTGAATGGTTATGTACGTGTAGCATTACCCAATTTTGTACATGAAAACAAATAATAATATTTGTAATGGTGAAAGAAACCCAGCTAATTTAAAGTTGTATACATTTCAAGCAACTTAATTCCAGCTCTTAAAATCAGATCAACAGTCGTACATGGAGATAAATTCACAACAACCAACCCATTATTATTCTACAAAATTCTATTATGCCTTAAATTCATATCAGCTAAGATGCAAATGACTTGAGTCTGATGGGTTTCCCATAGATTTTCTCACCAGAGCCATCGACTTCGACAGTAGCTTTCAAAACCATCTTCTTTTTCTTTGACCAAAACATTTGTTTCAACTTGACATCTGCGACCAAATCCGCCCTGAAAACCACTTTGGAACCGTTAGAAACTGCTTTGATAGCATCACCCCAAGGCAGTCCATGAGTCTCCACAACGTCTCTCCAATCATCTGTATTCTTCTCACCCTGTTTGAATCCAGGCACAGTATAATTAGCAACAGGAATATTTCCGTTCAGGCCGTAGAAGAGGCTGAGGTTCAGATCTCCATAACGCAAGCTGTTGGCTACCATCATATTTCTAAGCTGGAGATCAAAGAAAATGAAAGTGTTGCTACTGGTGGCGTTGGAAGGAATGTGTGTGTTGAGGGCAGGAGCATAAAAGTCCTTTATGTAACATCTTGGCTTCATGCTTTGGAGATATACACCAATGGGAATCAGAATGCTTGGCAAAATCATACAAATGCATACGAAAAGACACGCAATGCGTCCGCCTTGGTCCATGACAGTCACTAATGAGTATATGAGCAGATGACTTTTTTGTCTTTGTTTTCCTTCTTCTGATAGAACGCTAGATATATATAGACAAGATGAATGGTTTAGATGTTTAGGTACATCGATGGAAAACCAAGTCATAAAACATAAAAAAAGACTTTCATGAGTCAACCTCGTGACAAAGGACTACCTTCTCTCTTAAGGGAATCTTGATATTGAAGACTTTCATGTAAATTCTTAAGTGGTACTCCCACACGTAAAATGGTATATATATAATAATTCTTCCGTGTAGTTGTTGATGACTTGGAAGTCTTTCTTTAAGGTTGATTTTCTTTTGGTACCAAGCGGAATTCATTGTTTATGACTATAAAGTCTACAAGTTCACACTCTTATCTTCTTGATTTATATTCATAAATTTAGTCCTCCGTTTTCTTCAAAAAGCCACAAGTTCATAATGTCTCGGCTGGATGAAATAAAGGCAAGGGCGCACCCTATCTTTCTATTATACAAATTGTGCTGCCTGATAATCGTCTTCATTATTGCCCTTATGATCATTTTGATCGTAGTAAACACCAATACAGTGAGGCCCAGTTGCTCAATAAAGAACTTTTATGTTCCTTCTCTCAACAGATTGGATAATTCCAACTCCGGTACCATCAACAACTTTATCTTCTTCGACCTCGAACTCAAAAATCGGTTGGATGATATTAGTGTCCGCTATGACCCTATAAACCTCACATTCTTTTATGGTCCAAAGTCAAGCCTTCCAATAGGCAACTATACAGTAAGAGGGTTCCATCAGGGTAAGAAAAAAAGTGCTCAGCGGAGAGATGTGGTGGAGCCTCATGGTGTTCCTTGGTCCGACGCAGTGAATGCGGTTTCTAATGGATCCACGGTGGTTTTCAGGTAGGATTTGGCTACAAAGGTTAAGTACAAAGAGTGGTTTTTCATGTCCAAGAAGAGAAATTTGGCAGTATCGGCTAATGTGGAAATCAACAACTCTGGTAAAAAGGTCCAAAAGGAGGCTATTAAACTCACCGCAGGCATTCAGGCTCAGGCTCAGG